CAGGGCTGGTCTGGGCGCCAGTTGGGGTGAGGGGCTGCACCAGCAGGCTGACTGGTGAGAGCAGGGGGGAGGGGCAGAAGGGAGGCGGGGCAGAAGGGGGGGAGGGGCCTTGGGTGGAAGTGGCAGGGCAGGGGCCTAGCCTCCCTAAATGGAGGGTGCACGCACCACCCATGGCTGTGCCGCTGTAGCTTAGATATAGCCTGAGATAATGAGGTCCTTAATAATGAGATAATGAGAGTTTCAGTTGTGTGGGTGGATAGGAAAGGCAGTATTTTAGAATTTTTTCTGCATAAGATTTGACCTAGATTGACACAACCATGATGTAAGGATTTAGAAAGAATGCAAAGTTGAATGTTCTGGGCCTGAGAGACAGGGAGGATGGAGGTGTTGTACATTCCCTGAGAAAAGAGGAATTGGAGGATTAGAAGTTCTGTTTTGGCCATGCTGAGTATAACCTAATAGCTGCATATGCACAAGGAAATGTCAGAGACAGGCTGAGGCTTCAGTTTGGATAGAAAGAGACAGGTATAGAAAATAAGTGGATCTGTGCGCTCTCAGCATAGAGATGAGTTGAATTTGTATTTGCAGATTAGTTTATGCAGACATAAGGTATAGAGGGAAAAGAGAAGGGGATCCTTCTCTTTTGTGAAGAGTGAAGCCTTCTGCTCCCACCTCCCCACAGAATGTTGGAGTGGGGGGGTCAAGAGGATCCTCTGAAGAACATGCTGAAGAAGTGATTAGAGATGCAGGAGGAGGACCAGGAGAGGACTGAGTCATGGAAGCCAAGAGAGAATAAGATATCAAAAGAGCACCATCAGTGGTGTCAAAGACAGCTGATAGGTTGAGGTAAGTGAAGATGGAGTACTGGTTCTGAGTTTAAAAGCTTTAGTGAGGCATTTCATTGGAGTGCAAGGGGTAGAGGCTAGATTGGAAAGGGTCTAGGATAGATTTGGAGAGAAATTCCAGACAGCTATTATAGACAGTACATTTAATGAGGCAACAGATAAAAGGGAGAGGGATGTCAGTTGGAGAGAAAAGTGGGTCAAGGGTGTGATGATTTAAGATGGGAGAGACTGAAGCATGCTTGTATTATGAGGAGAGAGAACCGGGGAAGAGCGAGAGATTAAGGAGAAGGATAAAGGAGGAGATGAGAGTGGGTGCAATAGAGATCAGGGGGTGGAATGGGGTCAATGAAAATGCTAGAGGATACGAGCAGACAAACTTCTGTATCAGTGACAGGGAAAAATGAGTTGTAGGAGGGGAAGGAAAGGTGAGAAAAAGGTGAAGGTCTTGTTGCATTCTTGTCAATTTTTCTCAGAAGAAACTGGTGAAATACTGTCAGAGAAAAGTGGAGGCAGGAGGAGGTGGGGAGTATTTGGAAAGGGAAACAAAGATGATAAAAAAGACAGCTGGAATTTCAGTTGGGAGATAAATTATGGTGGAGAAGTTGGAGTTGCTTAGTTAGGAAGGTGATAGAAGTTTAGGATGGGGGAAAAATGTGAGAAATGGGAAATACTGAACCATTATTTTGACCACAGAGGATAACTCTGTAATGGTTTTATTTTTATTAACACTTCTGAAGTATGTACTTTTATTTAATTATATTGGTTAACATTGGATTGATACCTCTCATTGGGCAAAATAGCAATGTAACAGCTCAAGATCAGGCCTTATGAATTTTCATTTACCAGTATCTGCAAATAAATCCCTGCTTAGGACAGCATCCACCATTAGAGAAGCTTGCATAGTGAGAAGGCAGGCTATCAGATAATTCTGATTCACATTGGAGCTATGGCAGAAGGAAAGCTGACTCACGTACCTTTCTAAAAAAAAAATTATCACGTTAGAATAATTATGGTCCCCCTTTGCCACTTCAGATACAAGCTTCTTGTCATGACTTTTATAGCCCTTTATGATTTTCTGGCTATACCAATCAGATGCAGGATTTGAATCCAAACACTAACCACTATACAAAATTTGATTTAGAGGTTCCAATTAATTCAAATTTCTTCTACTTACCTCAGCCCCAAATACTAAGTCATGGAGGACTCCAAACAAGGGAAAGAAGCTTCAAAATAAGCAGAACAACATTTCAAAAATTAATAAAGTATTTAAAATATTTGAGAGTTCAAAGTAATTTACTCTCTAGAACTTCAACACTTAGTCTTCATGATGTCTGTTTGAGGACTCCTTTGTAGGCCCAATATATTTAGGACTGATATTGGCCTGGGTATGAAGTTACGTTTTCACATTGTTTAGAATTCATTGACATTACAAAAGCACCAAAAAGCCCACATCAAGACTCGGGTCCATATCTTGCTACATGAGTAATAAGAAAACAGTCCCTGCCCAGTGAACTCAGTCTTTGTTTATAATAAGCAGCAACAAGTAGATTAATTGAACAAAGGATATTTCTGGGATGACAAGGTAAAAGTAAAATAAGCATGTTTTGCATATTAGCCAATAGTCTGAGTTTACCACCGGCCGTGCCTAGCCAACATCACCTAACTGTCAGTGTTTTGTAGGTGTCAAGGCAGAAGTGAGTTGAGGATAAGGTGGTAGCTTTATGGATTTGATGGGGAGTTTTTTCCATGCATAATGGGAGAATTGATGATAGAGGTTGACATTGTTGACAGAGCAAAGTCCTTATGGCACTGATTTTCAGATAAAAAATAAAGCCAAAATGGGGTCTCCTTTTAAAAAAAATGTTTAAATGTGCCCATATACCACTAATCTTCTGAGAACAGCTTGAGACGTGGTGGTGCTGTTGGACCCAGATTCAACCTAAAACCTAGGGTAAACCTTGCCCAGTTAGGAACACTTCAAACCATCCCTAGTTTCAGCCTGAAATGATAAATCTATAGTAAATATCAATTTCAAAATAGAAATGGGAATTGAGAATATGTCTACCTTATGGAGCCTGTATCGGTATAACTGGTGCCCTACCAAATTCACGGTGCATTTTGGTCAATTTCACGGTCATAGGATTTTAAAAATAATAAATTTCATTATTTCAGATATTTAAATCTGAAATGTCATGGTGTTGTTATTGTAGGGATCCTGACGCAAAAAGGAGTAGTGGGAGTGGGGTCACAAGTTTATTGTAGGGGGATCATGGTATTGTGACCCTTACTTCTGCACTGTTGCTGGCAGTGGCATTGCTGTCCGAGCTGGTGGCCGGAGATCGGCAGCTGCTGTCCAGAAGCCCAGCTCAGAAGGCAGTGCCACTGCCAGCAGCAGTGCAAAAGTAAGGATGGCATGTATGGTATTGCTACCCTTACTTCTGTGCTGCTGCCTTCAGAGCTGGGTACCCAGTCAGCAGCCACCGCTCTCCAGCCACCCAGCTTTGAAGGCAGTTCAGAAGTAAGGGTGGCAATACCACGACCCTCCTACAATAACCTTGCAATCCCCCTGCAACCGGCTTTTGGGTTAGGACTCCCAGTTTGAGAAACACTTGTCTCCCCTGTGGAATCTTTATTGTATAGAGTAAAAGCACACAAAAGACCAGATTTCACGGTCTGTGATGGATTTTTCACAGCTGAGAATTTGGTAGGGCCCTAGGTATAACTATGCCAGCGTAGCTCTGTTGTGTAGATGCAGCCTATAACAACAGATTTGTTGTAGGAACACCACCTCCCTGAATGACACTGGTTATTTCGACAGACACCATCTTCTGTCAACATAGTTGTGCCTACACTGGGGGTTTTGTCAGCATAGCTATGGCTATCAGGGGTGTATTTTTTTCACACCCCTAACTGAAGTAGCTATTCCAAAGCAACTTAAATGTACACCAAGCCTAGGACAGAAGGATGTAACCCTTCTCTTGATAATCATGCTTAAGACTGATTTATGACTAGATGTTTCCATTTACAGTGCAGTAGCCTCCTGGGGATGTTGTCAGGGCGATGGTGAGTCAGAAGTGCGCATGGTGTCTCACTCCCACCGCCATGGGCTGGCCGGCAATATAGGTTCACCTCTGTGCAACGAGTTCCTGGCAAGCCTTTGGTTTTGCAACACTCCCTGAAGCCATGGTTCTGCCCTAGCGCAATATCAGAGTGCAATGCACGATTTAAGTGGATACCTTCAGATCTTTTGCCCTCTTGGTCTGGTAGGGAAGGAAACCAAAGCGCTACCCTCTTCTGCCCGCACCTTATTGGGGGCCGAGGGTGACAGATCCCCTCGCTGTGAAGCAAAGGGGCGTGTGGGGGGGGGGCAGGGTGTACCCAGGCAGGGGCAGCGCTCTCCGCCTCTGACCCCTCGAAGGAGGGACAGCTGGAACCCCCAGCTCCCCGGCCGCTCCGAGCCGTCACCGGCCCCCTCCAGGCAACGCCACCTTGCGGGGCACGACGCCGAGCCGTGGGCGGCTGTGCAACACCGAAAGCAGCTCCCGCTCCGCGCTGCCCCAGCCCCCGACCGCTCTGTGCACAGACAGCTCCGCCCCAACAGAGCGTGCCAGGGCCGCTGACTGACGAGCAGGACAGCCACTCCCGCCTACGCCCGTAGAACAGGAGCGAATGGGCGGGATTAGCCTTGGCCAATCGGGAAGAACAGTAAGGGGGAGGGCGGGGCCACCGCTTGAGTGGCAGCTCAAGAAATAAGCACGTTCCAGGCACACAAGCGTCCCTCCCCTCCCCCCATAGCCGAAGGGCTGAGGCGGCAGCTGCGGCGCAGGTATGGCGCACGGTCTCCCTATGACCCCCCCACCCCATGTAGCCGCTGCTCCCCCCTCAGTCGGGCAAAGTGAAGAGTCAGCAACTTCCCCGCGCCCGCTGAAACGCTCAGCAGCCCAGCGAGCGCAGGCGCTGATAAGGACTGGGTGTTACGGGGCATGCTGGGAAATGTAGTTCGCATGCCGCTGCCTGCCGGCGGGGGCCCTTGGACCCGCGCCGCCAGCTGCACTACCAATCCCAGAATGCCCCGCGCGACGCTGAGTCGCCCCAGTTGAAGCGGGTGGCGGCGGAGGGGACCAAAAAAAACAAAAACAAAACAAAACACAAAAAACCACACCGCAACCCCAAACAAGGAAATGGTGCAGGGCGGGGGTTCCCGGCGCTGGGGGCGCTGATCCCGCCGCGCCCCCCTCCCCCATGGGTGAGCCATGGACTACGAGTTCAAATCCAAGCTGGCGGCCGAGCGCGAGCGGGTGGAGGATCTGTTCGAGTACGAGGGCTGCAAAGTGGGGAGAGGCACCTACGGGCACGTCTACAAAGCGCGGCGCAAGGACGGGTAAGAGGGGAGGCGGCGCTGGTACGGGGCGGGCGCTCCTGGCTCGGTCCCCTGGCTCTCCTGGGGCGATGGGGAGCCGGGGGCGGCAGCGGTGCCGTGAGTCCCTGCGTGTGCTCCCCCGCGACCCTGATGCCCGGCCGCAGGCTCCTGGGGCACCATCTCGACCCTGCAGCTTCGCGCCGCGGGGGAGGCTGTGGTTGTCTGTGGCCCCTGGGGGCAGGGGCTGGCGGTGACAGCGGGGCTGGGCGGCGCTGGCTGCCGCGCCCCCTGCCAGTGGGAATGCCCAGAAATCCCCCAACATACGCCGGGGAGTGCGGCTTGGGGGGAAGGGGCAGTTGTGGGGTGAGCCCGGGTGCGATGGGGGAGCTGGCGCTGACTCCGTGTTTGTGTGTGTGTGTGTCTGTAGGGGAGGTATGACAAGCGGGGTATGAAGGTGAGGTTGGTTGTGTGTGTGGGGCAGTGGGAGGGAGAGAGCCAGGGTGTGAAGGTGGGGGGCAGTGGGAGGGAAGAAGGGAGAGGATAGTCCTGGGGTGAAGGTGGGGTTTGAGTGGGGGGGGGGCCCGGGGGGGAGGGGGGGGGTGTGTGTGTTGGGGGGAGATTGGGGACATCCCTTGTGCATGTGTGTGGTAGGAGGGAGAGTCAGGGTTTGGGGTAAGGGCTTGAGGATGACCTGTGGTAGCCTTGGTGGTAAATGTGTGTGTCTCAGTGGCCCTTTCTCCCTGCAAAAGATGGGCACCACCAATTTTCTTCCCTATGCTCCACCCAGTAACTTTACTGTTTCACTTGAAGTCATGAGGGATGGTGAGGCAAAGGAAAAAATAGGCAAAAGAACCTAACTCTTGAAAAAGTTTTGTAAACTTTGTACTAAAGTAGAAAATCCAGCTTTCAAAAAATGTATTTACAAAACATGACTTTGAGTGGTGGTGGTGGTGGGGAGCTGCAGGTGCAACTCCACTGACTGGTACATCCGGGCTTCATATAGCTCATAAATGTGCTAATTAAGCATTTACGTTCAGGGCCGCAAGCAGGCCCTGAGTGTTTTAGCAAAAATAGACAAAAATAACAAACAACCTCCTTCCACACAAATAAAACCAAATTAAAGAGTATTCTGAGTATATTGATGCTAGCCCAATGTGTTCTTAGTGGAGGTCTCTCTCAAGTGTTGCTTCAAATATCTTATTTTGTTTTTGAATAAATGTTTTCATCCCCAACCCCAGAATTATTAAGGCTGTGAAATTCGTTAGCTGCTCAGTAATTTGGTGGTGGTTAGTGTCCCTTATGCATTTTGTGATACATTTAATAGCACAGTCTAGTAAAAATTGAGTGAGGTGGTGCTAAAAAGTTAGGTTTTCTTGTTGTCCTAGTGAGGTAATTCAGTACGTCTACTAAATGTGTGAGGTTTTTAAGTATGGAAAATCCTCTAGGGGTATTGTGTGCTACCTGAAGCATTGGCACCTCCAGAGTTCATCAAAATTATTTTTAAAATCCAAAAGAATGACCAGCTGTGCTTGCTTCTGCTTTTCCAGTCTGTACTGTGTAGAACTGTACTGTAGTTTTTAATAAGTCTGGTAATTGTTAGATGTGTATGACTTCATAGTAGCTGATAGCTAGGCCCAGATGTGCTGCTCTCCTTCCTATGATGCTGCACAGGTGGGATGGTAGTGCCCTAGCCAGCTGTTACTATTCCTTGCTTGTCTCATTTCATTTCATTGTATTGCAATTCTATGATTAAAACTGAACTATATCTAAAGTTTAAAAAAATCAAATGTTGATCCGTACTTCAGACAGCATGTATATTTACTGGAGAATATAATAATTCTAAACACCTCTCATTCAAATCAGTCAGACCTATAGGAACATAGGATAGTGTTCAGTGGGGTTTTTTTTGTTTTTTTTTTTGTTTTTTTTTTTAACAGAACTATTATGTAGTCCTTAAGGGTGCATTTACAGAGCTGCTCTGTACATATTCAGGTTTTAAAGACACTTGTAAGTTCTTATCTTTCCACAAACTAAATCTATGTAGACTTCCATCGGTATAGTGAAGTGGAGTTTTGGAAAAGCAACAGGATGTTAGAAATACAAACTTATTATCATTTAAATTTCATTATTGCTATACAAAGGAATGATTGTGAACAGTGGTTAGAATTCTGTCCAGTGCAGTGCTGCAGAGGGCAGTCAGTATTGGGTTCAGTTTAAACACATTCCTCTGTGATCTCCTGGTACAAGAAAATTGCTTATTAGAGTAATCTAAATTTGCAAGACACATTAAGGCTACATCTACACTACAGAGCTTACAGTGGCACTAATGCAGCTGCGCCACTGTAAGATCTCTCGTGTAACCGCTTTGTGCCGACAGGAGAGGGGTCTTCTGTCGACATAATCAAACCACCTCCAGCGAGTAGCGGTAGGTATGTCAGTGGGAGAAGCTCTCCTATTGACATAGAGCTGTGTTTTGTTCACACCCCTGAGCGGAGCGGCATAAGTTTTGCCAACATAAGTGGTAGTGTAGACATGATCTAAGTTAGTAGGGTATAATACTGAGGCTAGACTAGAGGACTGGTCCAAGTACAGGACTGGGAGTCAGGAAATCTGATTCCAGCTCCAAAGCTGACTGCTGTAGCCTTCAGAATGAAGTCTAGTTAACTTCAAAAAGAGAATTTAAAGGAGTTCCAGCTACTCCAAGTGACCCTGAGCTCCCCTGATAATTTTGGTGATTTTACAATTACATTTTCCTTTTTTATGGCTCTTCTCATCCTTGTTACTGCGTGAAAGATCTTTGGAAACAATAAGAAATAATCATTAAAATGACTATACTCAGTGCTGTGAAACACATCACGTAAACTGAAAAAATCTTTGTTATAGTAATCCTTGGAGTTACTTATAAGAATTGGTTTTTCCACTCCCCCAAAGTATAATTTTTCTGTCTTAAACTTAAAAGTTGATTGCACACCTTCAGTTTTTCCATTTGTAAAATGGGAATATTGCTCATGTACTTTAAGGGGGTGTTGGAAGGATTATAAGGGACTTGTACCTAAAGCCATTAAAATGTTAGAAATGTTGGCAGGAAATAAAATGAGACTGAACTTGGAACAATGGTAGCTAATACATCTGTGTGAGAAATGATCCAAAAACTACACTGGGCACGAGAAAGAGGAACTGGAAAGAGGTGATGATGAAAAGGACTTAAAGGTGATAGTGGACAGTAATCTGATGTCAGAAATGCCAATATCACTTCTGGGCTGCATATCCAGAAGCTTCACTTCATGGAGCATGGAGGTGATTGTTAACCCTTTCTGTATGGTACTGGTCAGTGAGTTCACAACAGGAATGTGTTGTATAGTTTTAAGGTACCTCAGTACTAGAGATGTCAGCAGATGATCAAAAGTAATTTGAAGAGCAACCAAAATGACTAAGGT